CAGTTTTATAACTGTTGAGTTCTTTTAAAAATGTATTTATTTCATCAGTGAGAATCAGAAGAAAGAGACTGAGTGGAACAGTGAGCTTAAGGCAAAGCTGCTCTGCATTCCTAAGGTTTCAAGGGTCCTTACAGCTCTTGAGTGAAATTATTTGGCGAAATTGGGCCTAGACTAAAACAGCGTTTGTTATCCCCTTGTTCATTTGTGATGTGTAACCCCACTTCTGGAAATTAAAGGCAAGGCGCTGAGAGACATACAAGAGGAAAAAAATATGATTAAGCAATTTTAAATTGCCAACCTACCATGCGTCCATCTGCATATCTGAGTCTCAGGAAATACAAAGGGGTGGAAGCATACATTTTTTCTTTGTGACATCTAGAAACATGTATGATAGTTCCTATCAGCAATCATTCACACTTCAAAAACCTGACAAAGTTTGCCTCGCAGGAAAATAGGAGGAAGCCTATAAGTGAAAGAATTTCTGTTGTTTAATAAGTTTAATTCACAGAAATTAAGGACTTCCAGTAACAGACCCTTCACAGTCTGAAGGAAATGATGTTTGACAGTGGGACAATTTATTATTCAATTTTCCTTTCTTACTTTCCATATTCTAACTTTTTCCAGTGTGTTCCTTGCTGGTAAATTTTGGAAAGTATTTAATGCTTTTGTAGGAGGAAAAAACCCTCTAATGCCTTCATTTCTTCTTCCCCTTCATTTATCTGTATTTATTTCGTCAGTCCTGAGAGACTGAGCTGTGCAAGTCTTGTGACATCCCCCAGCTTGGCACGACTGAGGACTTTGGTGACTTGGAGAAGGCAGTATTTTAAAAACTGGCTTCTGCCAGTGTCCTGACCTTGCAATACTCAGTTTTCTTCTTTTAGAGGCTAGAAATAGTGAAAATTTCACCTCACTAAATTATGCCAGCTTCATTCTAAACATCTAAATTTTCCTTTAGCTTGGATTTTTCAAATCAAGAACTTTTCCATAGGGGTCATATTTACTTTTTTTTAGATTTTTTTGTCTTTAATATACCAGGCTCCTGTATCATCTTTCACTGCAGTATGAGCGCTACTGTCTGTGATCACTTTCAGATGGCTCAAGGGTCAAAATCAGGAGAAAATCGCAAAAAGAGGAAGCCAAGAAAACCCTTCATTTGGCCAAATGAGGCTCCTGACATATTTAACCAGTTCTGGAATTAGAAAGCCTTTCTGTACATTTTCTTCTAATTTTCTCACTTTTTTCCTTACGTAATGAAATTAAAACTTTTAGAGCCCACAGTTGACATTTTTCAGGAAATTGAGTTATCAAGGCAGTAATTATTTCACAGGGAGATAAAACTCTCATAGCCCTAACTGTCAAATAGGGCCCTTTTCAGATTTTAATTACAAAATAAAATTAGTCTGCTCTTCCTCAGGATGGTTTGTGAGTGGTTAAACAGAGCTTCCTCCAATACTGGTGGTCGTCAAACTCAGCTAATTAGCAATGCTGAGAAATTCCAGTTAACAAGGACATTCTCGAAGACTCCGCAGGTTCCCTGCCGTTCGCCTTCATTTCCATAAGAAGATTAAGAGAGGAGGGGCGCACACTCAAATGCAGATACAGAAAAGAAGCGTTTTTTAACAAGCATCATAATAGTAAGATGCTTGGCTAGTTCTCACCTAATTACTGCAAGTTAAACCTCTATTTGCCACTAAGAAGAAAAAATAAGTCTACCGTCCCCTATCTCCACAAAATTGTTAGTTGGCTGCAGATACAATACTTGAGGAGGGACAGGGTGAGCAAGATTAATGTAAAAGATTCTTAAATAAAATCGACTCATATTTAGCAGTTAAGGCTTGGCGGGGGCCAACAGAAGAACAAAATCAAATCAGAAGATTGTAGGAGTTAAGGTTTATTTCTAATTACCAATATTGTTCTAAAAGTGCGTCGCTTTTTGCTGTCCAAGGAAGAGTGTTTCGCTCTCTTTAGCTTAAACATTTTCAATTTTTACCAGTTGTATCAGCGGCAACATTTTTAAATTCCCTGAGGATGAAGCACCCTGTTCCAAGTATTTTTTTGTTGTTGTTGTTAGTCAGTGGTGTATTGTTGTTAGTACTGCAGTCATCTATTATAAACCTAAAACAAGGTTGCTTCTCTCCTCTATTGGGATTAGTACAGTTATTATTATATTTAGGGAGAATGGTGGTGCTGTATTGAAGTTGAGTGGCCAGTGATCTGATTTTTTAAAAATGCGTATGTTCTTTAAAAATGTAACGGGAAAATTGTTCCTGCTATCACCATCTTCTTTAACCTTATTTTCATAGCACATTATTATGCATAAATGCCAGCTACAGTTAGTTTATTGCTTCGATAAGTACAGCAGGCTTAATTAAAATAAAACTGTAAATAAATGCAACCAATGATAACACAATTGTAATGTATTTCGTAGCTTATTTATATGATAAAAGCAATTAACAAAAGACCTAGCCAGCCCCTTTAACCTCTTAAATGCGTTATTAAACAGCTTAGCCCCCAGCATCTGACTCTGCATACATGCTTCTACACATCATCCCAGGGAAAATTTGTCTCTTACTCCTGCCCTTTAACGAAAAGAAAGATAAAAGATTTCCTTCTAGAATCATCTATTATTAATATTTATTTTAATAGACACTACCATTATCTACATCAATCCCCTCCCCTTTTTTCTCCAAACTTAATTACCCATAAGCTTCCTTTTTAAGTTTTGGAGTAATGCTATTAAGCGCAGACCAATGTATACCCAATCATAAGTGAGTGCTTGGTTTGCCCTCCGTGGCGCCTGGACAATCATAATTCATTCATATGTTGAATCTCATAATTTGTACCTATTTTCCCCATGCTTTAACCTCCCACTTATCTCGAGGTTGTATGTACATTTTTAAGTTAAGCAAATTAAATATGATTCTTATGATTTGGTTCCACAGCTTATACATGGTAACTTTTCTTTTGTTTACGCTACGTATAATTAGTTCGATCTCCCACACCTCCCCCCTTTGTTTTTACTTTATTTCCAAATACCTTTTTTTAAAGGTAAAATGGTTCATTTTGGAAAAGCAAATCCACCAGCAGGGGGCGCACCAGCCACATCCGTGAAACGCCGCACTGAAAAGTCGGTGGCCGCCTTCTCTTCACAGCCTCTCAACCTTGTCTCTTTCCTAATCTCTAGAGATCCATGTTTAGCTTAATATAACACCCCGATGAAACAGGAAACAGTGCTTTATTGCGAAAAGTATTGAATACTTGCATGTTTCTAGAGCAGGAGTCTCACCCTCCCTGGGTTCCCAAAATCTAAAGCAAACCAGAGCAAAGGGAAAACCTGCGAGGAGAAGAGAAGGTTGCGTGGAGATAAATTTATTATTAAGAAAAGTCTGCAGAGTTCTTTTTCACAACTTTTCCAGGCCCCCATTGGGCATCCTCAGGTTGAATGTGACAATAAAGGGCAGGCCTGGGAGGGGAGACACTGGAGAAGTCGGGGTGTGGGGGGCGTGAGTGTGGGAATGCAGTTTGTGAAGATAATAAATGGAACGTGGCGGGTGGACACCATTCAGTCCATTTTCTTGGGGTAAGGGGAGACCAGGCAAGGAGGGGCTAACAGTGTTGAGAAGAAAGAAAAAAGTAACCCTGATGGTTTAAGCCCTTTATAAAACAGAAATGGCATCAGGGTTTTTTTTTTTTTTTCCTCCCTCCTCCCGCCCCCCCCCCGCCACCCCCTTGTAGTCAAGTGCATTTTAGCTACAAAGATCCCAACAAGAGAGTGGAAGGAAACTTAGCCAGGGCTTTGTTTGACTCCGTGTAGCGACAACAAGAGAAACAAAACTACCTATTTGTAACGGACGTGGTGCCATTGCTCTCTGCTTTGAGAGCCTACCTATTGAAATCTTTAGGTCGGGACAATGGGGCAGCGGCTAAAATTACCCTCTCGGTCCCTGCGGGCGGGCTCCCGTGCCCCTCCCCGCCCCCGGCCCGGGCTCCCGCGCGCCCAGCCCGGCGCCGCGCTGCACCTGTCCCGGGCCGGACGCGGCCGCCACCTCCGTCCACGTCGGCGGCGGGGGACGCGCCAGTGCTGCGAGCTCTGCGTGGGAGGGAGCTGGCGAGCGCGGCCCGGGGACCTCCTCCGACCGCGCGTGGGTGCCAGGGTCGAGCAGCCCCCGGGCCTGCACTGGGCGGCGTCCTCCGTGCTAGGGGCCCTCCTCGCAGCGCCCCGGACCCTGGCGCCGCCGAGACCCTCGGGGAGGGAGGGGAGACGGGCGCGGCCCCCGCTCCGAGGCTGGGACGGGGACCAGCGGCCGGGGACGCGGCTGCGGGCGTCCCGAGGCCCTGCCCACCCCGGGCCAGCTGCGAGCCGGGCGAGCCGCGGGGACACGCGGAGGGCGCCGACGCCTGGGGCCTCGGCCGCGGCACTCCTGGTGGGACGGAAGACGGGCACCGGGCTCGCGGAGGGCCTGGAGGGGGCGCCCTGCGCGGGCGGGCGCGGGAGAGCGGGCGCGGATGCGCGGGAGAACAATGACCCCGAGGCCCGCGCCGCCCGCAGGACGAGTTGGACAGTCGCCCCGAACCACCCACTTGGCTCTGCCCCACCCCGCGCCCCTTCCTCATTTCGGCACCCTGCACCAAAAAAGTAAATCCATATTAAGTTTAAAGAGGGGAGGGGAAACGGAGTCTTAGCGCTGTTTACCCACTTCCTTCGAAAAGGCGTGTGGTGTGACCTGTTGCTGCAAGAGGGGATACAAAGGTTTCCCAGTGGCTGGCAGCCGGGCTGCGGGCGCCGCCCCCCCTCCCCGCCTCCTCTCTTCCCTTCCCCCTCCTCCGCGCCTTTCCCCTCCCTCCGTCCTCCCCTGCGCGGCCCGGCGGCGCGGCAGGCCCCGCCCCTTTTCATGCAAAACCCGGCGGCGAGGCTGGGCGGGAGTGGAGGAGCCGGCGCGCGCTGATTGGTCGCGAGAAATCCATTTATTCCCTGACAGCCCCCGTCACATGGATGGTTGTCTATTAACTTGTTCAAAAAAGTATCAGGAGTTGTCAAGGCAGAGAAGAGAGTGTTTGCAAAAGGGGGAAAGTAGTTTGCTGCCTCTTTAAGACTAGGACTGAGAGAGAAAGAAGAGGAGAGAGAAAGAAAAAGGGAGAGAAGTTTGAGCCCCAGGCTTAAGCCCTTCCAAAAAATCACAATAACAATCATCGGCTGCGGCGGGATCGGCCGGAGGAGGAGGGAAGCGCCTGGTTGTGGGTTTTTTTTTTTTTTTTTTTTTTTTTTTAAATCCTGATTCCAGTTTGCTTCTCTCGCTCTCTCGCTTCTCTTCTCCCCCAAATTGCTCCTCGTCTGCTCCCGTCGCGGAGCCCTGCGCTCCCGGCGCCCCCTCCCGCCTCCCCTCCTCCTCGCCCCTCCCCGCCCGCGGGGCCCCCAAGTCCCGGGGCCCCCAAGTCCCGGCCGGGCCGAGGGTCTGCGGCCGCCGGGGGCTGCGCGCAGCGCCCCATGTACAACATGATGGAGACGGAGCTCAAGCCGCCGGGCCCGCAGCAGACTTCGGGGGGCGGCGGCGGCGGCGGCAACCCCACGGCGGCGGCCGCGGGCGGCAACCAGAAGAACAGCCCGGACCGCGTGAAGCGACCCATGAACGCCTTCATGGTGTGGTCCCGCGGGCAGCGGCGCAAGATGGCCCAGGAGAACCCCAAGATGCACAACTCGGAGATCAGCAAGCGCCTGGGCGCCGAGTGGAAACTTTTGTCCGAGACGGAGAAGCGGCCGTTCATCGACGAGGCCAAACGGCTGCGAGCGCTGCACATGAAGGAGCACCCGGATTATAAATACCGGCCCCGGCGGAAAACCAAGACGCTCATGAAGAAGGATAAGTACACGCTGCCCGGAGGGCTGCTGGCCCCCGGCGGCAACAGCATGGCGAGCGGGGTCGGGGTGGGCGCCGGCCTGGGCGCGGGCGTGAACCAGCGCATGGACAGCTACGCGCACATGAACGGCTGGAGCAACGGCAGCTACAGCATGATGCAGGACCAGCTGGGCTACCCGCAGCACCCGGGCCTCAACGCGCACGGCGCCGCGCAGATGCAGCCCATGCACCGCTACGACGTGAGCGCGCTGCAGTACAACTCCATGACCAGCTCGCAGACCTACATGAACGGCTCGCCCACCTACAGCATGTCCTACTCGCAGCAGGGCACCCCCGGCATGGCGCTGGGCTCCATGGGCTCGGTGGTGAAGTCCGAGGCCAGCTCCAGCCCCCCCGTGGTTACCTCTTCCTCCCATTCCAGGGCGCCCTGCCAGGCCGGGGACCTCCGGGACATGATCAGCATGTATCTCCCCGGCGCCGAGGTGCCGGAGCCTGCGGCGCCCAGCAGACTACACATGCCGCAGCACTACCAGAGCGGCCCGGTGCCGGGCACGGCCATCAACGGCACACTGCCCCTCTCGCACATGTGAGGCGGGCCGGACAGCGAACCGCAGGGGGAGATTTTCAAAGGAGAAAAAAAAAGAAAAAAGAAAAAAAAAAAAAACACGAGGGAAATGGGAGGGGTGCAAAAGAGGGGAGGCAGAAACGGCATGGAGAAAAAAACCTGGCGCGCTCGAAGGAAAAAAGCAATTTCATCACCCACAGCAGAGGACGGCTGCGGAAAGAGGGCGCCGATCCCATCCAGACTCGCGCAGAACCCGCGATGCCTGCGAGAAAACTTTTATGGGAGATCCAGGACTTCTTTTTGGGGGACTATTTTTGTACAGAGAAAACCCGGGGGTGGTTGGGAGGGCGAGGGATTGGACCTTGTATAGATCTTGAGGAGAGAGAACTACGCAAAACTTTTTAAAAGTTCTAGTGGTATGGTAGGAGCTTTGCAGGAAGTTTGCAAAAGTCTTTACCAATAAATATTTAGAGCTAGTCTCCAAGCGACGAAAAAAAAATGTTTTAATATTTGCAAGCAACTTTTGTACAGTATTTATCGAGATAAACCTGGCAATCAAAATGTCCATTGTTTATAAGCTGAGAATTTGCCAATATTTTTCAAGGAGCGGCTTCTTGCTGAATTTTGATTCTGCAGCTGAAATTTAGGACAGTTGTAAAGATGGAGAAAAGAAAATTAATTCAGATTTGGACATTTTAATTGTTTTAAGATTGTACAAAAGGAAAGAAATTAGGATAAGTACTGGCAAAACCATCTCCGTGGTCTTGTTTAAAAGGGCAAAAGTTTTAGATTGTACTAAAATTTTTAACTTACTGTTAAAAACAAAAAAAAAAAAAATGGCCATGCAGGTTGACATCATTGGTAATTTATAATAGCTTTTGTTCGGTCCCACCTTTCCATTTTGTTCAGATAAAAAAGCAACATGAAATTACTGTGTTTGAAATATTTTCTTATGGTTTGTAATATTTCTGTAAATTTATTGTGATATTTTAAGGTCCCCCCCCTTTTATTTTCCGTAGTTGTATTTTAAAAGATTCGGCTCTGTATTACTTGAATCAGTCTGCCGAGAACCCATGTATATATTTGAACTAATACCGCCCTTATAACAGGTACATTTTCAACTTAAGTTTTTACTCCATTATGCACAGTTTGAGATAAATAAATTTTTGAAATATGGACACTGAAATTATGCTTGAGTCTTTCATTTATTTAGATAACCCTGTAATTATACATAACTTCTGGGAATTATAATGCCATATTCAGCCACGAAGGCAAAATACGAAAAATCTTTCGTATTACTAGTCCAGCAACATGTGCTAACGTTAACTACAAAGAGCAAAGTGACAGCGGTGGCTGGATGATTAATCAGTACTCTGGAAAAACTGAAACGCTTATGTCATTTCTAAAATAGAAACTAGAGACATATATTGTAAATCCACCCCCTCCTTCTCTAAGCAGCATGAATACGCATGAGGGGGACTTGTGCTCAGACTGATTTGTGCCACTTGTTGCCAGGAAGGAGTCAATTCTGAAATTTTTCTTGTAGCTTAGCAGATAGGGGATTGAGCCAAATCAGAACCAGGTTGGCTGGTTTTGTTTTCATTTTCTTTTCCGCACAATGGCCCTTTGAAACCCGGTCACAGGGGGAAATGATGCTTCTCGTGTGGGAATAATTGTAAGCTAGACATGCGAAGTGTTATCTGCTGGGTGGGTTCTGGATTCCTCTGGCCCTGCTATTATTGTCTAAGAGGAAACAAGTGGTTTGCTTTCTTTGTTCCTTGACTTCGTAAACTTTCTCCTACATTTTCCTGTTTAGGGGCAAGGGAAAGCAAAGAACGTCTTGCAAAATTCCCTGACTTATCATGGATGTAGTTTTTTTATTATTTTTTTTCTTTTTTCCCCCGCCCTCCCGAATCCTATTTCTTAAACTGGCAGCGCGGGTCCAAGCCTGTCGCCCCAAATCGGATAATCTCTGCAGCTGATAACAAGCAAAAGAGAAGCCAGGCAACAGCCATATTACAGAAGAAAACAATCAACTCTGAGGTAGATATTTTACTTTGTCCAGTCTAATCACATTTGGAGATGATTATGCTTTTGATCTGTTAACTGTTTGACTACAGTAGTAGAGGTGGGGGAGGAGCGGATGGAGAAACAAGATTGGATTTGTTGTTTTCTTTTGCCCTAGGAAAGGTAAAGAAAGGCTTTAGTTGTCCTCGGTGGGAGCAGAAAAGTTGGGGAAATCGCCCTGGTCTTTGAATTAGCGATGCCTCTGAATCAAAACCAACCTGCGTTTTGACGCAGCCTGAGAAACCGAGACCAAGTCGGGGACTTTTAGTTCTTTTTTTTTTTTTTTTTTCCTTCTCCTTTTTCTTACACTTATTTCCCTCATCTTTCTCTACCCAAGGGGACCAGGAAGCATAGAAAGACATTCTTAAGTGCACGATTGCTTCCCATACTTTTAAGAGTTTGTCGTGTCAACTTGCTACAACTTTGGAGAAGTTGGAACCCGGCAGCGCTTTCCCACCCACCCCTGGATAAAGTCCCCGCCGCAGCCTCTCAGTTGGCTCATTCCGCTGGTTTTCACCTCCTGGTTCCCGGGAAAGTCTTTCGTGGAGTGTGGGTTCTGTGATGAGCTAGTGAATATATCATTATCTGTATTTTTATTTATTCTAGATTGCTTCATTTTCAGCGTGTATTGGTGTTTATTTACTTTACCCTCATTTTTTTTTAGGGTACTGTTGTACTGGGGAGGGAAAGAGATTCCAGCTCCCAAATTCTGAGCAAGGCATTTCCCCCCCTAATTAATGCAGGGACTCTGAAAGAATTTCCCCCAGCTCGGCCAGCCATTGTAATGCACATACAGATTATTCACGTGGTAATGAGCACATTCGGCAGTTCTTGCTCGTATGAGGACATACGAATAAAAGAAACTTTGAATAAAGATCCAAATGACCATGCTGGGGGAGCGGGGAGGATATTCCTGAGCCAATCAACGACATAGGATGTATGTATTTGAAAAATAAATTTACAGTATATTAGAAATATACAGAGAGGCTCAGAATAAGTGCACTGTATTAACCTTCCATTTAAAAAAATGTCCACAGGATCAGACCAGAAAGCAATGTTTTGGCAAAATATGCATTTGCAAAGATTTTGCAAGGGGAAGAAAAGCACAATATTTTGGGAAATTGAACTGGCTTTAAGTGATTGTCACTGTCTAGAACTTCCATTTCCTTTCCCATCTCTCCTATATCTCCAAACCAAGTAGTTGAAAACTAGAGCCAAAATTTTTTGTTTGTTTGCAAGTTTAAATACTTTGGGTAAACTGCATCTGAAGAAAATGATACACATCCCATTGTATCCTTCGATAAAATTAAGTGACTCCCCATGTATAATTTCATGACTGAATTAATACTGAGCATATAATATTTTGATAATATGTTTCACAAGGCACATTGTGCATTCATAAACTCACCCAGAGATGTTATCTCTTGGTGCTGAGGACAGTTGCTGTGTTTCTGTCCTTCCTCAGGATATTATTCTGCTCAATGAAAACTCTCAATTTTCTGTCTAAAGGGGTGAATTTAAATGTTTCATTAACCTTACAGAATAGAAATGTGCAAAAGATTGAGATTATATGTAGTCTCTTCTCTTTACAATTTTTTTTTCTCCTCGCCCCTGCTGCCCCTATACTTTAAATAAAGAGAGTTAAAATATTTTTGCTGAGCTGTAGTAGATTAGCACGGTTTCTTTGCCAATGCTGGGAAGCTGGTATTACAGACTGTCCCAGGGGAAAATGGCTCACATTAACCACTAAATGAATATTTGACAAGGGCTCATTCGGAGGTATTATTACTATAAACGTGTCCCTACTGGACTTTTCAAGGGTCAAAGAGCAACGCTTCAATTAATTATTTAGACTGCTAGTAGATTTGGTTGTAATAGCTGTACTTATTTCTAGAAACCGACACATTTGTATGGTAGGAAAAAATCTCAGGAGAATCTTCTCCATCAGCAACCTCTTAGATTGAAAAGCATACTGAGCTCTGGCGTTCTAAAGCTTTTTCCATAAAACCTTTGCATGGGCTGGGGGGTGGAATTATGGCCTCTTTTTCTATTCCGTGGTCTCTTTTGGGTTTAAAGGAGAAAAAAAAATCAAGAACATAATACTTTATCTTAATTTTCACATCATGTCTGGCCAGGTCTTTTAGGTATCTACAGTACAGGCAGAAGGAGGAGGGCGTTTATTTATAATCTTTTGCCTTTTCTAAGTAGCAATGTTGTAAGATTTCAGAGACCGGGCAGGCCCTGAATTTAGGCAAGATACATATTACTATTTGTTAATCAAATCCAAGATTTAAAATATAAGGCTCCATCGACTGAGTGTGCTGAGTTCTAGTTGTGGCTGAGTAAATTGGGGTACAGGATATCCTTCCCGCCTCCTACCTATTGGTCTGAACACTGGAAGGTGCAGGGGGTGAGAGCCAGCTGATGCCATGTCATAACTTCTCCCAAGGCCCCAGGTACAATGGTAAAGGAATGATTTTGAGAGTAAGATTCCTTGACAATAATATAAATTGAATGAATAAGAGATAAGCTGGAGGGGGGGTGGCAGCAGTAATTACAACCCTAATTCATTCAGCTTTTCAGAACTTTTGTTGTGGGAGCTCCATTGACTGGTTTTGAGCTGCCAGTTTTCTCACATTAAAAGGAACTGATCAACGCCTCAGGGGGACAAGGATACCGCTTAACTGCATAGTGATGGGGTCTTCATTTAAAACCATTACAAGAAGAAAATTAAACAGTGCTTTTGTGTGCATGAGGTTTACTTTTCAACTGCTAACAGTTTATAGCTAACTGCTCCGAGATTGAAATTTGACTATGGTTTGATCACCTGTTAGTTGGCACTGCTTATTTATTTGTTTATCTGTTATAATTGAAAGAGCTTTCTTTTATCCACCATCCCCCCCCTTTTTTTTCTGTTCTTGGAGAATTTTGAAAAAACGGGTCCTCATATTTTTCTTTGTGGAAGAGGGACTAACCCTTCGCCATGAGCTCACTTAGCAAAGACTTGAGCTCACATTCCAAAACCACCCCCCACCCATTATTGCTTTAAAATAATTTGCATCTCTAGTTTTTTCTTTCTTTCTTTCTGCTTCCTTGTGGCTGCATTTCCTTGCTCTCTGAGTTGAGTTTTCTTTTCAGGCTGCATCGGGGGTTGTGCCTGGGGGTCGACTTCATGTTCTTTGCTTTCTTTTTGGACCTAAGTTGGGAGGTAGCTGGCTGGATCTCCCTATGTGGTGGATCCCTTGGAGAAGGGAGAAGGGGAAGACACTGTGACCTTTACCGTGAAAATCTGGACGGGGTCCAAAGAAACAGAGCTTTTGAAAGTCTAGAGTATGAAGCTGTGGAAGCAGCTTCCAAAGATAGGGAAATAGCTCTAGCCAGAGAATGTGGTTAGTATCTTTCATAGTTATTTTCTATTTAAAAACTTTCCTGGTAACCTCACGTGATGCTACCGCAGGAGTCTCAAACCCTCCCCTCTCCCTCCTGATGGTGCTGTCCAGTGTTATAGTTCTTGTTTTCAGTTTGTGCGTTTTGCTTTTGTGGCTTCTAGGAAATTACGCACCTGATTCTTATTTTAACTACAGGGACTTCTCATAGGAAGGGTGATATATTACGATGTCTTAAGATTTCTACCGCAGAGAGTTCTGTTTCTGTGTGCAGGTCCAGCTGAATTTTGTTTTTTGTATTTTGGTATAATGGTGATGTTTCTGACTCCTTGAGCACCAGGCTCAGTTTCTCTCCCAAAGCAAACAAAATGTCCTTTTCATTTTGGAATGCAAAGATAGCTGTTGCTTCTAGGTGTTTGGACTACAGATGCTCATTCCACTTTGCAAAGCGATGTCAGGTGATTTAAAAGCTCAGAGGAGTCATGCGTCTCATTACCCTCGTCTGCCTGCGTGACAGAATGAAGTGTGCGGTGTTTTACAAAGATTTTGGTGCTTTGAGCTATCACCTGCACCCTTCCCTGGGAGTCGGTGCCGCCGGTGTAGGAGCTGGTCTGGGAGCACACTGGCCTCCTGCAGGCCGCCCTGGAGGAGCAGTGTCTAGTGTCCAGGCCACGGGTGACAGGTGACAAGTGAGGGGCCGGTGACCTGACATCCCAGAGGCCCTGGATACATC